TTCTATCCAATTCTAGTTCATTGCACAGTAGAGATTCATCTACTCCTGTTTGTTCTTTACATTCATCGGATAATGTGGTGAGTAATGTTGGACGGACATATTGTCTGTTTACAGCTAATACCTATAAATAAATGATTAAAATGTCGCTATCTTCAGTTAATTAGGTACTCATTTGTGCATATGTGCGACACCTACAGCAGCACTATAGCTGCTCTCGTAGTTCTTTTTAACAAAAAGAAGAACTGCTTTTTACGAGGATATTTTACAAAAAAAGAAAGATGTCAAAAAGTTTTTATTTTATTTTCCTTCAAAATTTGTTTAACTAGTATTGAAGAAATTGACTTTTTAACAGCAAAATATCGTTTCTTTAAAAAAATCCTAGAACAAACGTGTTTATTTCACTGTGAAATGTTGATGCATCTTGGAATACAAAAAATTTAATCAAGTGAAAACGACTATCGGATGCTATGTAGGCAACTTTTAGCCTATTTCTAGGCTTACTAACCTTTCTCTTATCCGAATCAATGATAATTTGAACAATTTCAATAATTTCTTGTTCATCGGATCCCATATTATCATCTAGTAAACCAGCTGTAACCACATGGAATAGACATAAATATTGACTAGTTCCCGTGTTGCCATGCTGCTGAGGTGTCATATTCGCCAAGCTAATCGCACTTAATGGCGAATGTGTACGAATCCGTTTGCAATTCAGGTTTAATGGAGCCGTTATAATAAAGTTTGAGAAAATATAAATGATAAAAAAAGAAAAAAAAGAAGAAAAAAAAGATAGAAAAAAAAGAAAAGAGAAAATAAATAATTAAATAAATGTAGATTGAATAGATCACGATGCCTTTCAAAGCACCATTCAAAGTTGTTTAAGTTTTACTGAAGAGAATGTTCATCTGTTGGATATTCTTCATATAATTACATGTTGTTGTTATTATTGACCATTCTAAAAGTTAAAATTATCTCTATATTTTTTCACTCACAAGTTTTTATTATCTACAAATATTATCAAGAGAAAAGGAAGAGAGAAACTATTAAATATTTTTTATCACACTCGACACAACTGTGGATTCGATTTAGAAAAATGATTTTTGTTTCATTTAAAAATCATTACCGCCATATGTTTGTAAGCAAGACAAAAATCCATGTGACGATTAGAATAAATCTTTTATTTGACCAATGGACGAAATATACAAACACACACGCACTGATGACTGAGAAAAAAAGAAATCATAAATTAACTTTTCCTCATCTCCCCAATTTGCGCAATCTACATATCACTTGCCTCATTGTGTATAAGTACTAGAGTGACAAAGAAAAAGAGTTAGACCATTAAAATAAAAAAGTAACAGCTGCTGTCTTAGAAAAAAATCTCATCAAGCTTTTCAAAGCTTCGAAAAAAACGAATGATAACAAATAGTAGAACAACGGATATGTAAGAGAATTTAAACATGCAATCGAACGTAGGTTTTTCTAGAATTAATGAAGATTTCATTCTTGTCGAGAATGAAATGCATCTACATACTGTTAAAGTGACAAACAATAATAAAAACTGAATAGAGTACATTAGGCCAAAAAGAGACACTCGAATCTCCACACTTTCCATCTGACTCAAAAGCTGCCGACTATTTCAAGCAGATTTTCATGTTAGCATGAAGAGACCGATGCTTGATGTACCATGTAGTAGCGTAGGCAATGGGTGGGCTGGAGTCGGATCAGCCCACCCACTAAAAGCTGTATAATTCCCACTACTCTGCGAAAATTTCTTATATGTCTACCACTTTGAAAAAAGTTGGAGCAACGCCCGTCCACTAACAAAATCCTGGCTCCACCAGTACTACCATGATGTTCAATAATGAAGTTTTTTGACCAAAATCGACTGAGAACTCACATAAATAGATCAAAACTTCAACAAGATTCTCTTTTTTATGTCAGAGTGCTCTGCTCTACAAAAAGTATAGGTGTCGTACTGCTGATCACAGTCTTAAACTGTTGAACATAAAGTAGTAATCTATTAAAATTTGAAATCTAGAATTACAGCATAATAATTCCTATAATATAGCACAATATTCCTATCCTACAGTATTCTTGAGATCAAATTTCCAAAACTTCATGTTTCTTCGTTTTTAGAATAAAACTCTATGCTTTTGTGGATGTATTTCAGATGTTCGCTGCATTCAGCGTACTACCGTTTCCTTTCGCTTCCATGTTGTTAGGCCTCTTAAAACACTGCATTGCGAAAAAAACCTATTTTTATAACTATATACTTGCAGACGTACTTGAGCTCCACAGGTAAGTATTGTCACGATGTATGAAATAAAAATATTCACGTATTATATAAAAGAATAAGAGAACACACAAATAGTGAAGATGAGCGGTGAGAGAGAATAGATACAGTTGACAATGATTTGAGACACGGTTCACTGCTTTCTCGCTTTACCAAGTAGAAGAGAAATGATGACCATCGTCCAGTTGAAATATAATAGGACATATATTTATCATGGAATGCTTTCTGTCAGTCTCAAGTTGATCGTTGTCATGGCTCAGAGGGTTGAAGCAATTCGTGACTTGTGCATTTTATCGACATTATTGTTGTAATATAAAGAATAAATTTGAAGTCTTACTATTTGTAAAAACTAAACTAAATAAACTGCAGGCAGATACAATCGGATAAATTCTTCAGAATTACTTTAAACATATAATGTCTTGAATAGTTCTGTGCAGTTCCACCCAGTATTACATGGTGTATAAGCTGCCAAGACCTTACCTAGTGGCTTTTATAGTACTTGATGAGAGAAGTAAAACCCATCAACTTTAAAAAGTCATTTGAAATACGATTTCGGCCTTGAACCAAGTTTTGAACACCCATCTCCTCGCTCAAATTTGGCCCAGAGAAAGAGAGTAAAGCGGACGTCAACTAAACACATTGTTACGAGAATCTTGTAGAACTCGCTGAATTCTATTATTGGAGAAAAAATTAAAGAATCTAGGAATTTGTTTCCAGGCGAATAAATTCTAAAAATTAGTTTTCCCTAAACGATTGGCCAGTTAGTTCTGGCGTCCTTCGAATAAGTATGAATGTCGTTTCATTTTTATCTAAGACAAGATAGAGTTCCATTTCGTTCTCTTTACACTAGAAAAGCCGAACGTTTTGCGTATTTCACCATTTTACGCCCCGGCCTATTCACTTCTGAGTATATTCCAAAAACTCGATCTTGTTGGCAATAGTAGAATTTGACTAGATCTTTCACACGAAGTATAGAGTGTTCATATAGAATGTTTGATTAAAGAGAAGAGACGTACTCAAAGTTGAGCGAGGAGATGAGTGTTCAAAACTTGGGTCAAGACGTGTTTCAAATGTCAACTTTTTAAAGAGAAGTTAATGGCTTCTACTTCTCTCATCAAGTGCTATAAAAGACACTGGATGAGGTCTTGACAATTTATACATCATGTAATACTGGATGGAGCTGCGTGAAAGTCTCTCCCAGCAGTCGAACGTCATTAGATCTTTCAGCTCTCATTTTGTCATTTTAAAAATCCATGCCAGAAAACTAGCCATTTAGATATGAAAATTTCTTTTTATCAATTATTTCTGTTTTCTATAAAGAGTTTATGATTTCCTGGTCAAAATATGCTAAAAAGAAGATGATGTCGACACTACCGACGTCTGTCATATCAATTAAGTCAAGAAATTTTAAAAGTGTGTTCGATCAAAACTGATCGCAGATTTGGATTCTTCATAGTCGATTATCTTGTACTCAACAAGTTTTCAATCGGGGTACTGTAGAAAAAAAATTTCCCATTGTTTTGCAAATTTTCGAACTTTTTACGAAGCTGCTGGAGGGGATCAACGGCTGAATGAGACTGAGAAATGTTTGCAAAGTGCCCTGATTCAAAACATGTTGCGAATAAGGTAACCGACTATGAAGACTCCGAATCTGCAATCAATTTTGGCCAAACATGATTCTAAAATTTCTCAACTGAATTGATATGACGTAGAACGTGTCGACGTCATGTCATTTAAACTTATCTTAACCTGCTTTTTCATAGAAGGCTGCTTCTTTGTAGAAATCTGCTTTTTTATAGAAAAGTTTGAGAGAAACACCCATTCTACTCTGTGAGTACAGTTTAAACGCGATCTCCATCGATGGCGCATCAGTTCGGTAAAATCATTAACAAATTTCAATGTTCTGTGTACTTAAAAATGAAAATTTGAAATTTTGAAGTATCATCAGAAATCTCGATACATGCATCAAATAGTCCCTTAATGAGCCATTGCACGACTACGAAGTGAGATCATGGTAACCTAGAATATGAGAAACTTTGGTCATAGGAATTGTATCTGAGACTTTTCATATACAGTAAATCTTTTTTACAGTAGTGAACAGTTTCTCTAGATTTATATAATCTCAGAATGACTATTTCCCTATGTATGATACAGGGAAACGATGCTAAAAAAAAGACCCTTCGGATGATGTAAAGTGAGTTGTAACAAACATCCAAAATACGACTGACAATGAAGATAAGGAGCAGAAATTTGATTTGAACAGTTTTCTGAGTGCAACTTCAAAGACTTTCCTACCTTTGAATAATTCGACTATAACATTTGGGATAGCTTCAGCATAAACGAAATTTTTGAAGATTATCAAATGCTTAGTTTTACGTATTATCAGAGCTGCTTCGAAAAGATTAATATTTGGATTGGTAACGAATGCAATTTATGAAATTTTTTAACAAAAGAAAACACTTCTGTGAAAAACCAATGACCTTATGAACAGGCACATGAATATTTGCCTTCTATACGAATAGATGTATGTTGACATAAAATATACTTCAATAGTGTCAATGAACACTAGAGAGATTGATATTATTGTTTTATAAAAACCTTTTTTAATAACGGAAAAGAATTTAGAATTAAAACAAAAAGAGAAGAAGATAATCTACACTTTTGAAAAATAAACTGAATGTACACAAATAAAATTTCATTGAAACTAATATTTTCCATTATGTTGAGTAAAAAAGTCATAAGATGTGTAGGGTGTTTTAAAATTTTGTGTATGAAATTGTGGTGGTACAAGTAATTTATTCGAATCAAAAAATGTATTATTTCCATACGTATCTTGCCCAAGAAACGATGAATCGACAGTGGCTGTTGACGGATGAATAGAATTGCCATTTGGGGTTGAGCGATGATGAGGATAACTTCTAGATGAAGCATTTAAATATGTAGGTGATGCGTAAGTAGGCCAATATGAACAAGGAGTCGGTAATGACGAGGATGTTGACGTAGTTGGTGCCAATGTATAATCTTCACCCGATGGTGTAAAGTAATGCATGTTATTATTTGATTTTGAAAATATGGACATTTGAGCTGCGGTTGCAACGGCCGCCGCACCAGGAGAAGAATTGCAACGAAATGTTGACGGTGATGATGGTGTTGAATTATTTGTATCATTTAGAGTTGTGCCATTACTCTGATATGCCGAATGCATATCACTAACATGTGAATTATGTAGCATGGCATCACGATTAGTAGCCATGACATTATCGATCATAAATAAATTTAATGGATTTGGTACTAGACTTGTTTGGACACAGTTCGCTGGTTTTGAACTAAATCCAGCTGTTTTGCCGGATAAACCGTTTTGTGAAGAATTGTTAGAGACGTATGGTGTTGGATCACCTGATTCACTTGCTTCGACTGGTTCAGCTTTTGTTATTGGATAAGAAGCGTGACGATGCTAAAATTAGAGATAATGGTAGAAGATGCATTTGACTTTAATCACTTTATAATTTAAGAAAAATTGTAATTACGTATATGTATTCATTCATCATAGAGTCTCAACAAATGGGTAAACTTTATCAAATGTGGGCGAATAGAATTACAACTCTTATCGAACGTCGCCTTTTAGTACTTTACTGCTAGCTAATAATTTCCTTCTTACCTTTTTTGATTGTTCAGAACAACTGGTTTCATCTGTGTCTTTTCCTCCTGAATTTGATGATGTTGTTTCATTTCGGCATCGACTGGCTTTTGTACGACATTCAGTACCATTACCGTTGTTGGTTGGACTTATCTGCTGATGTTTTTGATTTCTACCGTAGTTTTGTTGCTGTTGATGGACTTGTGGTGCAACTTGATTAAGATGATGTTGATGATGTGCTTGTCCATCTTTTAATTCTTTTTGGTGTTTCAATTGTGGTTCATTTCGTTTAAATCGTCGACGACGACGTAGATATGATCCATTATCAAACATATTATAACTTTCTGGATCCAATGTCCAGTAACTACCTTTACCTGGTCGTTTATCATCTCTCGCCACTTTGACAAAACAATCATTGAGACCAAAAAAATTAGAAAAAATATAAAATAAACTACCAGTTTAGTTCCAGATGAACCAGAATACTTACTTAAATTATGCCTAATACTATTTTGCCAACCTTGTTTATTCTCTCTATAGTACGGATATTTATCCTATGAAAAAGAAAGAAAAGGTAAAGTGTCATAGTTATAGACACACTAGAATAATCGACTACTATTACCATAATAAATTGATAAATTCCATTTAATGTTACTTTGCCGTCGGGACTATGTTGAATAGCAGCTGTAATTAGTGCAATGTACGAAAATGGTGGTTTTGTCATTTCTTTTGAATTATGTGCAGCTATGGCATAAGCCTGTGCATAAACCGGATATGTAAACATTTTAGCAGCTGTTGGATCACCATACGGATAACTTGATGGCGTTGCATATTGTCGTTGTTGTTGTTGATAATAATTTTGTTCATTCGTAGTATATGGGGGCACAAACGGAAATGTTGGTGTCGAATTTGGATTTGTCATATTATTATTTTAATCAACTAATTGAAGCATGTAATCTGTTTTTATTTTCGTCTTACAAAGTTGGACAATAATAATAACAACAATCAAAGACTGTATAAACAGATAATAAATAAAATAATAATAAATATTAGCAGTCGACAGAAAATTAATAAACCTAGTAGCTTTCTGTTAGAATAATAATCGTTGATGATGATCGTCCTAGTCGTCTAATAATAAACACCGATGTGTCCTGTTTTATGTGTGTATGTTGTTTTTTTTATGATTTAATACTCGGGACTATTTTCTTTGTCTCTCTCATACACACACACAAATATATATATATGTATGTATATAAACAAAATAAACTAGGGAAATCGATGATGATGGTTAAGTTAGCTTTCTTTTTAACGAAATGAATAAACAACAGTTGAAATAATAACAGTACGAAGAGAGAGAGAGAGAGAGAACAGACAATAAGGAACCTTCGATATTAAAAAATTATGAAACAATTTTCTTTTCGTTTACACAAAATAAAATTAATAATTGTCTCTCTGTATATGTGTAATTTTTTTTTTCGAAAAGTTTACTCGTTAAAATAATAGTCAAAAAATACTAATAATTCGAGATGATGATGAAAGAATAATAATAATAATAATAATAATAATAATAATAACAATAATAAAATATAAACTAGAAGGATCTTTTTTTCTCTCTGTCTTTCTTTTTCTCTCGTTTTTCTATTGTATGGATTCAATGCGGACCAAATAACCTAGTTTTTTCTCTTCATTTTGACATATCAACACAATCATATAGTCTGATGAACTGTGTTGGAGATTGGTAGTAACTTATCCCTTGGTGACAAAAGAAATATATTTTTTTCTTTTCGTTCGTTTTTTTCAGTTCGATTTTATTCATAACCCAATCAAATTAAATGATTAGAAAATAGCTATCCAATAAGAATTACGCTTGATGGGGTGTTTTTTTTTTCCTTCCACTAGAAATACTTGTTCTAAGTAACTAACTTTACGTAGTTATGCTGTTAATATAACAGAATAAAAAAAAGGAAGAGAGAAAAAAATCGAAAATGAAAAGGATCTTTTTATTTTCTCTTTTTTTCTTCTTCTTCTTCTTCTTCCATATTAGCTAGTTACTCGAAATTGATAAGTTCATTAAAATATATCAGTATGCAATGTAAATAATAATGAATATTTTATAGTAGAAAACTAATTATAGAATTTAAAATTGAAATTATAATAGTTTTTCTTGTTATTTGTGATTTTAAAATCGAGAAAAATTGATATCTTGAGAATTAACTGAAATTGAACACATGTTGGATGATTCAAAAAAGGTTTTGTTAATTTAAGTAACATTGAAATTTGATTTGCAGTATTAAACATATATCATTGTCAATGAAGAGTATTTTTTCATCATATATATAGAGAGAGAAAAAAATTGTAAGAAAATCCGTTCTTTAGAGTCAACTGTACATGATTTTATTACGATGCAGACTAACAAATAGGCAAACGATGTAAATTTATTTGTATTCAGTTTTAAAGATGAAAAATAATATGATGAATTGATGTTGAAAATCTTTATTTAAACTGCCGAAAAGTGAAAAACAGATAAGATAATTCTACGTATTTATTAGTTATGATTGATTAATTGATTCACTTACAAATTACTCATAGTTCTAATAAACTTCAACTGTAAACGATGTACCCTAATTTTCAGTAATTTACTTGAATATACAGTTTTATTTATTTATTTATTCAAGGCATAGAAGAAATCAAACGATTTTTCTCTTTTACTCGATGGTATGCATGCGGTACATGATCTTTTGAAAATGAAACTTGTTTAAAAAGATTTATGTATAGCCAGTCTCTTTATGTAAAACAAAATTCTCAAAATTCATTATAATCGGACTTTTGCATTGTAATACTAATACTGATTAATTCCATCTTGATATACCTTTAAAATATTGTTAAACGCGCAAAATTCGAATAATACCCCATCTAAACATTGAATAAACATGTAACTGTTTCATTTCTAAGAATTGAAGATAAACCCTCCCCTCTTCAGGCTCTTCTTGAGGAATGATGTGTTCGTTTTAAATAATCGACTGATCTTCTCTTTAACCATTAAAGTCAGTATCTTTATCGTAATGTACATTTTTTGTATTTCTTCATTTTTGTAGACGTTTTTTGCTGAAACATATGAAAACCAAATGTCTGGAATAATATGTTTTTAATCTACGATAAAGAAGAGAAAAGGTCCTAATCAGTCTTAATGGGTTAATCTCTTTCACTCTCACTCTCTCTCTCTCTCTTTCTTAAATGAACATCTAAATCTGACATTCAATTGTGTTTAACTGTTTTTGATCAGTGTCCTACAGTGAATCAAAATTAGTGAAAAATTACAATCAATTACATGTGTCTGAATCGAACAAGATGTAACTTATCAATAGGATGTTATTTTTCCATCAAAAAAAAAGAGAAAATCATCAATCGTTCTATCCATAATGCTGAAAGAGAATGAAAAAGTAAGGAAAAAAAAAAGAAGTACGATTATATTAATGAACACCACAGGATACCATTGCATCTATCAAAAAGTATACGTATACAACTGAGAATAAGAAGAAAAAAATCAAGAGTGAAATGATGCTCACTTTTTCATTGGTTATTCTTTTATAATGATATAGAAGACAACAACTTTTTTTATTTTTCTAAGAACCGTTACTAATTGGGAATCATGGCATGATGCAGTGTGCCTGTATACATATGTACACAAGTTTCATATTTTTATTTTTTTGTTTTTTTTTCTATTAAAAACAAGATTTGAAATTCAATCCTTTCGTCATCTGGATGATTTTTGACTAAGATAAAAAATTTAGTTCGTCTTGCATGTTGAACAATTCACAAAAAAAAAAAAAAAGGAAGAAGAGATATGCTAGTCAATTAATGATGATCGTAATCTTGTCTTATGATGTAAGTTTCTTTTTTTCTAATTATCGTTCACTTTTTAAAATGAAGTAACTATATAAATACTTAACGTTTAGAAAACAGAAAGACTTACTCGCGTGAAAAAGATATGCGGCAACAAACTTTAGTTAGACAGAAAAAATTTAATTCAAATCTTCAATTCAGTTTTTCTCGTTTTTCTTTTTTTAGCTCACATTGACATTGCGGTTCAATTGATCTTTTACACCAAATAATGATTAATCACCTAAGGTATCTAACAGAATGTTTATTTGTGGCATCATTCTTATTTTTTAAATGATCTTCACACAAATCATAGAGATAGGATGGATTTAATCCTTCAAACGGCATTTTGATTTTTTTTTTTCTATAATCCTTCGCCTTCATATTGCCAACGGTCTGATTATTTTAGCGCAATTTTTAACATCAAGAAAACGGCAGATAGAAAGAAAGAGTAAGAGAAAAAGAAAGAAAACACCGGTTTTTTTTCCTCCTTTTCATAATTCACTTTTTCTTTTTTTTTTCTTGTTTGCCCATTGGCTACAATTAATCGTTGATTAATACCGACAAAAGAACTATTTAAGATCAGTTATGTTGTTAAAATAATATTTATGTAAACACAATCGTCATCAGAAGAAATTCATGGCACCAATCTATGTATATATGGTTTTATACTTTTGTTGTCATCTCTTCTCTCTGTCTTTCTTTTCTTTTTCTTTTTTTTTTTTGTTCTGCTCAAGGCAATTATAAAAGTTTTCTCGTGATGATGAAAGGATCAAAATCAAAAATCACCTGCGTACACTTACTTTCGTTGATGTGTTAAAATCAAGTGAACTGCTCAATTATGTTAATAAGTGATTAATGGCACGAGCCATAACAGAACAAGAATATTCTACTATATCAGACCCCAAGTCTTTTGCCTTATAAAAATGAAATTTAAGTATATAATTTTAATGTATAGAGTTTTTTCACTTTTCTCAAAATCTATGTAATAATGAGATATATGAAAACTATAGTAGAATTTATTTTTATTGTCCGGTAGTAGAAAAATATTATATACACACACATACACACAGAGATATGTTAAAAGAAAGAGTCAGATGAAAAACGATATATTCTTTTCCCAGTATAAACTGAAAAATGCTACTTGACATGTTGCTACGATTGTAGAATGTTGTACTGTCAATTGTATCATTCTCTAGAAAAATCTCAGAACATAATCATCAACTATACGTACTTACAATTATACAATTTTTTCCAACATATTTTTATAAATATTAATAACAATGTGATTACCCATAGTACTTTTAAAAATTGTTTTTATTCTAAATTGTAGCTGACATTTTTGTTGATAATCTGATTTTTCTATGACGAGTAATATTAATTAGAATAAAATGATTAACCAACTTTTGTTTAACTTCTATATTTATACAGGTATTGATGATAACGTTCTGATGATGAATTTCGATAGATGAGTCGAGATGCGGATAACTCGTATATATAAACGTAGATGAATGCTAAAAAATTCCATTAAAAACATTCATCCAGATTTCGTTATACTATTCGATTGTAAAAAATCGAAATTTCGACGTATTAGGATAATATATTCATTGTTAAATTGTACAATAGATAGAAATATCGACTGAAACTTATTGGTATAGTCGAACATTGTTTAAATTAATAATCAGTTAAATGCGGAGAATTCTTATTCTGTTTTTTTTTTTAGGAACAGAAGTTTGTTTGTGTGTCGTTTATATATAGAGAGAGTCGTTGGAGAAAAAAGAAAAAAATTAGGAACAGAGGTTATTGTATATATATGTGTACTCTAAAGATGTTGTGACAGATAACGCGAAATTTATTTATTCAAATAACATTGCTCTCTGTGCTCGAAACTTATTTTTTTTAGTTGTGTGTAAATGGGTTGGATTTATTTTTTTTACAAAGCATATTTATACAGATTTATAACATAAATATTCGCGATACACACACACATACACACACATTTATATATATACATTCCTTGTAGCGAGGTCTTTTCAGCTTTGT